AGCCCCAGGGTAGGGATCAGCCCCTGCAACCAGCATCAAAGCCCTGGGAACCCCCTGTTCTGAGGGGGAAAGGGGGATTTGGGCAGCGCTGGCACTGCTGAAGGCTCCCAAAGCCCTTCCCATAGGAGCCGCTGTGAGCAGGGATCATGGGGCTGCCCTGGGGAGCAGGGATCAGCTCTGTCTGTCCCCATGGACACACAGGGCAGCAGAGCCCATCCAGGGAGAGGGAACCGGGCCCAGCGGGACACAAACACGGAACCAGTGGGGAAAGAGCCACAGGTCCACCCAGTGCAAGCATTGCCCCACGGCCACCACTGCCCCATGGCACTGAGGGGGTGTGAACCCTTGCAGGGCCGGTGCCTGCAGCCCTGCCCTGGGCAGCCTGTTCCAATGCCTGAGCACCCTCTGGGGCAGGAATTGCTCCTCAGCTCCATCTAAACCTGCCCTGGTGCAGCTTGAGGCCGGTTCCTCTTGTCCCATCCCTTGTTCCTTGGGAGCAGAGCCCAGCCCCTCCTGGCTCCATCCTCCCCTCAGCTGGGTGCAGGCACAAGGGGGTCCCTATGGGGGCTCCCCAGCACTGCAGGGATGCTCTGGAGCTGCGGGCACCGCTCAGCCCCCGCAGGGTCCCCAGCACCCGGAGCCCCACAGCCAGGACCTGACCCCCCTGCCCCGCGCCACCAAACCCCAGCTCTGCCCCAGCACCGGCACCGAGGCTCGGCCGCATCCGGATCCCCCCAGCGCCAGCACCCAGGGACCCCCTACACTGAGGGCGCTGGGCAGGGGCCGCAGTGGGGCTGGGACCTCGGCTCCTGTGCTCCGGACCCACGGCGGCCGCAGGGAGCTCCCCATGGATCCAGCCCCATCCCGGACGGAGCCTGCGCCTCATCCCCGGCTCAGCACAAGGAGCTCAGCGCAGGGATACGGGCCCGTGCCCCATAGCGGGGTCTGTGGGGTCCCAGCCCCACGGCTGTCACCTCCCCACAGCTCAGTGCCCACAGCTCAGTGCCCACAGCTCAGTGCCCACAGCTCAGTGCCCCATAGGGCACCCCCTAACCCAGCCCCCCGTGTCCCCTGCCCCACAAGCACCCCGTAACTCAGCCCCCCCGTGTCCCCTGCCCCACAAGCACCCCCTAACTCAGCACCCCCGTGTCCCCTGCCCCACAGGCACCCCCTAACCCAGCCCCCCCGTGTCCCCTGCCCCACAGGGCACCCCCGCTGTCCCCGTACCCCGAAGCCCCTCAGTGTCCCCAGTCCCCCCCTGCCCCAGACGCCCCCTCAAGCCCCCCCGATGCCCCCTGCCCCACGGACCCCTCTCTCCGCGCCCCTCCCGCTCCCCCCGGCCCCGCTCCCGCTTCACCTCCTCCACATCGCGCTCCGCGGGGCCTCCAACCTCCACCTCCAACACCGCCGCCATCTTGCCCCCCCCTCCCCCCGTCCCACGGCGGCCAACTCCTTCCGGCACCGTCCACCAATCACCGGCCACGCCGCCGCAGCGAGGGCCAATCGCTGTGCGCGGCCCTGCGCCAGAGGCCAATCAGACACGAGGAGAGGCGGGACAGCGGCCGAAGCGGCAGAGCTGTCACTGGCAAGGGACCGTCGCGCATTTCCAGGCCCGGAGCGGGGCGCTCGGGCCCGGCCGCGGTCCCGTTGGCACCGCCCCCCCGAACCCCCCCTCCCCTCCGGTGTGAGCGGCCCCGGGGCTCGGCTCGGCCCCGCTCCCATCCCCGTGAGCCCCCGGGGCCGCTCGGCGCTGGGCCGCGGGCAGCGCACACGGCGGACGGTCCCTGAGCGGGCCCGCGCTGGAGGACTACGTGTCCCGTCATGCACCGCGGCGGAGCGCCGGGACCGGCTGAGGAGGGAACAGGGATCGGGATCAATGGGGGTGAATGGGGCTGAGGGGCAATGGGGGTGAATGGGGGGGCTGGGGGTGAATGGGGCTGAGGGGCAACGGGGGTGAAAGGGGCTGAGGGGCAATGGGGGTGAATGGGGCTGAGGGGCAATGGGGGTGCATGGGGCTCAGGGACAATGGGGGTCAATGGGGCTGAAGGGCAATGGGGGTCAATGGGGCTGAGGGGCAATGGGGGTGCATGGGGGGGCTGTGGGCAGGGGGCACTAAGGGGGTAAAGGGAGGGCTGTGGGGCAGGTGGGGTGGTGCACTGGATGCGTTGGGGCTAAAGGGAGCTGGGGGCTATGGGGAGCCCCAATGGGATTCCTGGGGGGCAGGATCCCTGCTGTTCCCATTGGGAATGGTAGGGACCTGTGTGCTGGGTACCTCTGTTCCCATTGGGAATGCTGGGTACCTGTGTGCTGGGTACCTCTGTTCCCATTGGGAATGCTGGGTACCTGTGTGCTGGGTACCTCTGTTCCCATTGGGAATGCTGGGTACCTGTGTGCTGGGTACCTCTGTTCCCATTGGGAATGCTGGGTACCTCTGTTCCCATTGGGAATGCTGGGTACCTGTGTGCTGGGTACCTCTGTTCCCATTGGGAATGCTGGGTACCTGTGTGCTGGGTACCCCTGTTCCCATTGGGAATACTGGGTACCTCTGTTCCCATTGGGAATGCTGGGTACCTCTGTTCCCATAGGCAATGCTGGGTACCTGTGTTCCCATTGGGAATGCTGGGTACCTCTGTTCCCATAGGGAATGCTGGGTACCTCTGTTCCCATTGGCAATGCTGGGTACCTCTGTTCCAATGCTCCAATGCTGGGATGGGGACACAGGGAATGGGGAGCAGAGATTGCAGCTGCTCTGCCCCGGCCTCCTGGGGCTGGAACCTGCCCGGTGTCAGCGGGCCCTGGATGGGGATTGGTGACATAGGGTGTCCCATTCCCCATCCCATTCCATTCCCCCATCCTATCCTGTCCCATTGCCCCATCCCATCCAATTCCCCCATCCCATTCCCCCATCCCATTCCATTCCCCCATCCCATTCTGTCTCATTGCCCTGTCCCATTCCTCCATCCTGCCCCATCCCATCCTGTCCCATTCCCCCATCTCATCCCATTTGCCCATCCCATCCCATTCCCCCATTCCATTCCCCAATGCCATCGCCCCATCCCATCCTCTCCCATTGCCCCATCCCATCTCATTCCCACATCCAATCCCATCCTCTCTCATTCCTCTGTCCCATCCCATCCTGTCCCATTCCCCCATCCCCTCCCATTCCCCCATCCCCTCCCATTCCCCCGTCCCATCCCCACATCCCATTCCCCCATCCTGTCCCATCCCCACATCCCATCTCATCCTCCCATTCCATCCCATTCCCCCATCCTGTCCCATCCCATCCTCTCCCATTCCCCCATCCCCTCCCATTCCCCCTTCCCATCCCATTCCCCCATCCCATCCCATCCCTGCCGCTGAGTTCCTGCAGCCGGCGCAGGGGCAGAGCAGGGACCGGCTCTCCCTCACTCTCCCCCATCCCTTGGGCCGCCAGGGCCGGTTCGGGCTCTCCTTCACCCGCACGCACCCGCTGGGTGCCGCAGCCCCGCCCCGGCGCCGCGGTGATGGGCTCCTGCCGCCCTGCATCACTGCCTTGTCCCGCAGGAGGGCTCCGGGCCCATGGGCAGCGCCTGCAGCCCCAGCCCTGCCGCGGGCTCCCCGTCCAGCACCACCCCCTGAGCGCACCCATGGAGCGGTTTGGGTCCGAAAGGACCCTGGGATCTCCCGGCTCTGATCCCGGGTCGGGTCCATCCCATCCGGTCCCTGCGCACCCCAAGGTGCTGCCCCCCGGGCCCTGCTCTCCTCCTGCCCCGGAGCCGCAGCGAGGATGAGGATGAGGAGGAGCTGGGGCTGAAGAGGCTCCCGGCCCAGCTGAGCCGCACGGATGCTGCTGCTGAGGCCCAGAGCCGGGACCGGGACCGGGATGCAGCTCCCAGTGGGCTCCATCCGCATCCCATCCCCAAAGGGATCCTGGCCCGCTCAGCGCTGTACCCACAGCCAGAGCGATCCCATGGGACAAGGCCATGGGGGGTCCCCGATGCTCCCCATGCCCATAGGGGTGCACTGGCCTGGTTCCGGGCTCCTCACCCTCCTGCTGGTGCATCCCTGGTGCGCCCCAATCCCCCTGTGGTCCATGTGTGGGGCTCCAGCAGGATGCTGCTCCATGGGGATGCTCCAGCACTGGGATCCATCAGTTACATCCCATGGTGGGGGTCCAGAGGCGGCTCCATGGGGTTCAGGGTGGGATTAACGCGGCTCCATCCCATCCCATCCCATTCCCAGGCTCTGCACAAGGAGGCTCCCAGCAGGTGATGCCTTCATCCTCCTCCTCCTCCCCTGCTCCAATGGGTGCCCAGCAGGGGTGGCCTCAGGCCTGCCCCTGCCTCTGCACGAGCAGGGATGTGGGGCAGGGAATGGGAGCCACTGGAGGGGCTCAGCAGTGCCCATGGGGCTGCCCCAGCTGCATCGGTCACTGCTCCAATGCAGTCCCCTCCTGTGCCCCTTCAGCCTGGAGCTGCTCCCCATGCACCCCAATGGGTGCCCTGCCCCATCCGCACCCCAGCTTCAGCACCCAGACACGGGGGGCTGTGAGGATGGAGGGGCACGGAGATGCTGGGTGCTTGTGGGGCAGGGAAGGAGCTCAGCACCCCCATAAAGGGCTCTGGGGCTGATGTGGGGCGAGCACCCCAAGGCTTGGGGGGGGTTTAACTGGAGAATAAAGGCGCGAGGGAAGCGGATTGTGGCTGCCCATGGGTGAGCGGCGGCACTGGGGAGGAGGAGGAGGAGGATGGAGACCCCCCCCCCCGCATTGGGGTCCCTGAACCCCCTGAACCCCAAAGCAGCGCCCGGGCCCCCCCCAGCGCTGCAGGACAAAAATACAATTTATTTACAAGTAGAAATACCTTAAAAATGCCCCTTTCATCCCCCCCCCCCCCGGGGTGCCCCAGAGGATGGGGGGGGCCTGAGGGGGTCCTGCCTGTGGGGGGCAGGCAGGAGCGGGGTGCAGGGGGGGATGGGACAAGGGGAAGGGGCCCCCCCTCGTGTCCCTTCCCCCCCCCATGAGCCTCGGGTTGGGGGGGGCCATAGGGACAAAGCTCAGAATTTGGTGTCCTTGAGCTGCTGGCGACCGGCCTGGAAGGGACAGAGCAAGGTGGGGGCATGGGTGGGGGGGACCTGCCCCAATGGCCCCCGGGGGGGTGCAGGGGGGTGCAGGGATGGGGGGCACAGGGATGGGGGGCGCAGGGATGGGGGGGCGCAGGGATGGGGGTGCAGGAATGGGGGCGCAGGGATGGGGATGCAGGGGCGCAGGGATGGGGGGCGCAGGGATGGGGGGGTCAGGGATGGGGGGCGCAGGGATGGGGGCGCAGGGATGGGGGGGGGGGCAGGGGATGGGGGGGGGCAGGGATGGGGGGCACAGGGATGGGGGCGCAGGGATGGGGGGCAGGGATGGGGATGCGGGGATGGGGGGCGCAGGGATGGGGGGCGCAGGGATGGGGGGTGCAGGGATGGGCGCAGGGATGGGGGGTGCAGGGATGGGGGGCAGGGATGGGGGGTGCAGGGATGGGGGGCGCAGGGATGGAGGGATGGGGGCGCAGGGATGGGGGTGCAGGGATGGGGGGCGCAGGGATGAGGGGCACAGGGATGGGGGCGCAGGGATGGGGGGCGCAGGGATGGGGGAGCAGGGATGGGGGCGCAGGGATGGAGGGGCAGGGATGGGGGGTGCAGGGATGGGGGGCGCAGGGATGGGGGGTGCAGGGATGGGGGCTCAGGGATGGGGGGCGCAGGGATGAGGGGCATAGGGATGGGGGGGGTCAGGTCCTTACCTTGCCCTTAGGGGACTTGGTGGTGGCGATGCGGGGCGAGCGGCGGGCGCCGGTGCGGGGGGACCCCTTGGTGGGGGCTTTGCGGCGCAGGAGGCTGCTCCCCAGCTTCTTGGGGGTGTTGAGGATGCTGAAGGCCAGGGACTGGCGCCGCTCGGCCTGCAAAGGGGGTACAGTGAAGGGGGGTCACCCCAGTCACCCCCCCCCAGTGCTACTGGTGGTGCTGGTGCTGCTCTCACCGGCTTGGCGGGCGCTGGCTGGGCGCTGCGGTGGAGCTGGGCGCTGCGGCGCTGCGGGGTCTGTGCCCGTGGGAAGCACGTGGTGGGCTTCTTGGCCTGCGGGAACGGGGGGGAAAGGGGATGGCACCGGGAGAGGGAGCAGAGCCCCTGGTCCAGGGATGCTCCAGCCCCGATCCCTGCGCCTGAGCCCATCTAAACCCACAGCAGGGACCCCTTCCACTGGAGCAGCTTGCTCCAAGCCCCTGTGTCCAACCTGGCCTTGAGCACTGCCAGGGATGGGGCAGCCACAGCTTCTCTGGGCACCCTGTGCCAGCGCCTCAGCACCCTCACAGGGAAGAGCTTCTGCCTAAGAGCTCAGCTCAGTCTCCCCTCGGGCAGGTTCAAGCCATTCCCCTTGGCCTGGCCCTACAGGCCCTTGGCCCAAGCCCCTCTCCACACCCAGCACGGGTGCTCCCAACCCACCAACCCTGTGCCCATGGGTCAGTGGTGGCTTTGGCAGCGCTGGGGAGCGGTTGCACTGGGTCTGAGACTCAAAGGTCTGTCCCCATCCGGCTGGGTTCTGTGTTCTATGGCTCTCATCTTACATGTTCTATGCTCTGTGTTTCACACTCTATGCCCTGTGTTCTATGTTCCATGCTCTATGTTCTATGCTCTATGCTCTCTGTTCTATGTTCCATGCTCTATGCTCTCTGTTCTATGTTCCATGCTCTATGTTCTATGCTCTATGTTCTATGCTCTATGCTCTCTGTTCTATGTTCCATGCTCTATGCTCTCTGTTCTATGTTCCATGCTCTATGCTCTCTGTTCTATGTTCCATGCTCTATGGTCCATGCTCTATGCTCCGTGCTCTATGCTCTCTGTTCTATGTTCCATGCTCTATGCTCTATGCTCTATGTTCTATGTTCTATGCTCTCTGTTCTATGTTCCATGCTCTATGCTCTATGTTCTATGTTCTATGCTCTATGCTCTCTGTTGTATGTTCCATGCTCTGTGCTCTGTGTTCTATGCTCTATGCTCTGTGTTCCATGCTCTATATCCTGTGTACTATGTTCCATGCTCTATATCCTGTGTTCTATGTTCCATGCTCTATGCCCTGTGTTCTATGTTCCATGCTCTATGTTCCAGGCTCTATGCCCTGTGTTCTATGTTCTATGTTCCATGCTCTGTGCTCTGTTCCATGCTCTATGCTCTATGTTCCATGCTCTATGCTCCCTGCTCTGTTCCGTGCTCTATGCTCCATGCTCTATGTTCCATGTTCTATGCTCTATGCTCTGTGCTCTGTTCCATGCTCTATGCTCTATGCTCTATGTTCCATGCTCTATGCTCTATGTTCTATGCTCTATGCTCTATGTTCCATGCTCTATGCTCTATGTTCCATGCTCTATGCTCTATGTTCCATGCTCTATGCTCTATGTTCCATGCTCTATGCTCCCTGCTCTGTTCCGTGCTCTATGCTCCATGCTCTATGTTCCATGTTCTATGCTCTATGCTCTGTGCTCTGTTCCATGCTCTATGCAGTATGTTCCATGTTCCGTGCTCTATGTTCCATGTTCCATGCTCTATGTTCCATGCCCTATGCTCCGTGCTCTATGGTCCATGCTCTATGCTCCGTGCTCTATGCTCTATGTCCCATGTTCCATGCCCTATGCTCCGTGCTCTATGGTCCATGCTCTATGGTCCATGCTCTATGCTCCGTGCTCTATGCTCTATGTCCCATGTTCCATGCCCTATGCTCCATGCTCCCTGCTCTGTGTCCCATGTTCCATGTTCCATGCTCTATGCTCTATGTTCTATGCTCTATGTTCCATGTTCCATGCTCTATGCTCCGTGCTCTATGCTCTATGTCCCATGTTCCATGCCCTATGCTCTGTGCTCTATGGTCCATGCTCTATGCTCCGTGCTCTATGCTCTATGTCCCATGTTCCATGCCCTATGCTCCATGCTCCCTGCTCTGTCCCATGTTCCCCGCTCCGTGACCACCCTGTGCTCACCTCGGGGGTGTCGGGGCCCTGCTGGGTCTCAGTGGCTGCTCTCTTGCGCTGCTGCCGGGTGGTGATGCCGGGCCAGGCCGCGCTGAGGCTGCTGCATGGGGCCGGGGGGGGCTGCATGCTGGCGCGCCGCAGCGTCTCCCGCGGGTCCCCCGTCTTCATCTCCTCGTCCGTGATGGTGGCCAGCGAGTTGGAGGACTGGGGGGGACACACACACACAACACAAGGGGGATGTTACCAGGGCCCCCCCATGCCTGCCCCATGGCTGCACCCCCAAGGGCCGTACCCTGCTCTCCAGGGGGTAGCAGGTCTTGAGGTGGGGGGGGCAGGCGCGGTTGCGCTGCTGCAGCTCCGCGATGCGGTTCCAGTCTTCCAAGTGCTCGGGCTCATCCTGGCACGTGCCAAGGTAGAGGCTGCTGCGGCCTGGATGCGGAGCAAGGCAGGGTCAAAGGGGGGGTTCCAGCACCCCAAGTGAAGGCAGAGCCCCCCCCACTCTGCCCCCCCCCATAGCCACGCACCCAGGCTGGAGCTGCTGCCCCCCTGCATGCGCCGCAGGGAGCTGCGCGTCACCGGGCGGTAGCCGGGGAGCCCCAGGAGCGCGGCGTGGGCGCGGGGGTCCTGCGGGGAGGAGGTGTCCGGGGGGAGCAGGGACTCCTGCGATGGGAAACTGGAGAGGGAGCGCAAGGAGGAACCCGAGCGCAGGCGGCTCCGGGCCGGGGCAGCGCTGGGCTGGGCCCCGGGGAGGCTGCAGAAGGAGACGTCGGCATCATCCGGTTCCTCGGGCTTGGCTTCTTTCTATGGGGGAGAGCATGGGATGGGTGGGATGAAGGGAGCTCAAAACCCATCTAAACCCACAGGCAGGGAGCCCTTCCACTGGAGCAGCTTGCTCCAACCCCTGTGTCCAACCTGGCCTTGAGCACTGCCAGGGATGGGGCAGCCACAGCTTCTCTGGGCACCCTGTGCCAGCGCCTCAGCACCCTCACAGGGAAGAGCTTCTGCCTAAGAGCTCAGCTCAGTCTCCCCTCGGGCAGGTTCAAGCCATTCCCCTTGGCCTGGCCCTACAGGCCCTTGGCCCAAGCCCCTCTCCCAGTTCCCTGCAGCCCCTTTAGGCACTGGAGCTGCTCTGAGGCCTCCCCGTAGCCCAGCAGAGGGGCAGGATCCCCTCCCTGCGCTGCTGCTCATGCTCTGGGGGTGCTCAGCGCTCCCTGCATCCATGCCCCGGTGCCCCCCCCGCTCACTTTGCTCATGGTGATGCTGATGGTGGTGCGGCGCCGCGCGGAGCGGGTCTGGCAGCCGGAGCCGAGCGCGAGGTCCCCGCAGGAGCCGGCGCTGGAGCTGCGCTGGGCCCGCGTGCGGCCGGGCAGGGGGGTGAAGTAAAGGCTCTCCAGGGAGTCCCCCTTGCGCTGGAGCCGCCGCGGCACCGGGGACTCCTCAGCACCCGCGGGCAGCAGCGAGTCCTCGGAGCGGGAGCGCGCGGCCTCCCTGCGGGACAGGGCTGGGCTCAGGGCACGGCGGCTCCGGGGCTGGTTCCGGTGCCCATGCCCATGCTGGTACCTGTTGGTGCGCAGGGACCCAGCCTCCTGCAGGCTGAGCTCCAGGCTGTCGGTGCTGATGTCGGCGGGGTTCTGCTGGAGCAGCTCCTGCCCCTTCAGCGCCTCCTTGGGCACCTGGACCCTGCCGAGCTCCCGGAGCTGCTGGTTGGCAAATTCCACCTGGGTGGGAAGCAGGGAGGGAGGGAACGGCTGAGGGAGATGGCAATGGGGGAGATGGCAATGGGGGAGAAGGGAGGGGAGAAGGGAGAAAAAAGGAGAGAGAAGGAAAGAGGGAGAAGGAAGGAGGGAGAAGGAAGGAGGCAGAACGAAGGAGGGAGGAGGGAGAAGGAAGGAAGGAGGGGGAAAGAGGGAGAAGCAAAGAGGGAGAAGGAAGAAAGAAGAGGAAGAAGGAAGGAGAGAAAAGCAAGGAGGGAGAAAGAATGGAGAAAGAAGGGGGCAGAACGAAGGAGGGAGAAGGAAGGAGGGAGAAAGAAGGGGACAGAACGAAGAAGGGAGAAGGATGGGGACAGAACAAAGGGGGAAAAAGGAAGGAGGGCAAGGGAAGGGGGGAGAAGGAAGAAGGGAGAAGGATGGGGACAGAACGAAGGGGGGAAAAGGAAGGAGGACGAGAGAAGAGGGGAAAAGGAAGGAGAGAGAAGCAAGAAGGGAGAAGGAAGAAAGGAGGGAGAAGGAAGGACAGAGAAGGATGGAGAAGGAAGGGGACAGAACGAAGGGGGGAAAAGGAAGGATGGAGAGGGAAGGAGGAAGAAGGAAGGAGGGAGAAGGAAGGAGAGAGAAGGAAGGAGGGAGAAGGAAGGAGGGAGAAGGAAGGGGGCAGAATGAAGGAGGGAGAAGGAAGGAGAAGGAAGAAGGGAGAAGGAAGGGAATAGAACGAAGGAGGAAGAAGGAAGGAGCAGAATGAAGGAGAGAAAAGGAAGGAGGGCGAGGGAAGGGGGGAGAAGGAAGGGAGAAGCCCCTCTGTGCTGTGCTGCCCCCACCTGAGCCTCCAGGCTGTGCACCTGGCTGGTGAGGTTCCTGCAGCTGAGCTCCGACTCCTTGGCCTGCAGCACGCTCTGCTGCAGCTCCTTGGCCAAGCGCTGCGCCTCGGCCCGCAGCTCCCTGTTCTCCTTCTGCAGCTGCTCCATGGCCTTCAGCCTCTCCGCCAGGTCCTGGGTCTGCTGCTTCTTGGCGTCATAGTGGGTTTTTGCCTTCTCCATCTGAGAGAGAGGAGAGAAACCCATCGGCATTCCCAGGGACCGGGATGGGGGTGGATGGGGATGGATGGGGATGGACGGGGATGGGGATGGATGGGGATGGGGATGAGGATGGACCGGGATGGGGATGGGGATGGACGGGGATGGGGATGGATGGGGATGGGGATGGACGGGGATGGGTGGGGATTGGGATGGATGGGGATGGACGGGGATGGACGGGGATGGGGATGGATGGACAGGGATGGGGACGGGGATGGACACGGGGTTGGGGATAGGGATGGATGAGGATAGATGGAGACAGGGATGATGGGGATGGGTATGGATAGGGATGGGAACAGGGATGGATGGAGACGGGGATGGATGGGGACCTGTATGGGTGGGGATGGATGGGGATGGGGATGGATGTGGATGGACAGGGATAGGAAGGGGGATGGATGGGGATGTGGATGGACAGGGATGGGGAGGGGGATGGATGAGGATGGACAAGGATGGGGACGGATGGTAATGGGGATGGATGGAGACGGGGACAGATGAGGAAGGATGGGGATGGGTATGGATGTGGATGGACAGGGATGGATGGGGATGGGGAAGGATGAGGATGGGGATGGATGGGGATGGACAGGGATGGGGAAGGATGGGGATGGGAATGGATGGGGACAGACAGGGATGGGGACGGGGATGGATGGGGAAGGATGGGGACGGAGATGGACAGGGATGGGGATGGATGGATGGGGACGGGGATGGATGGGGAGGGGGATGGATAGGGAGAGGGATGGATGGGGACAGGGATGGGGAGGGATGGGGACAGGGATGGGGATGGGGATGGACAGGGACGGGGATGGACGATGTGACCATACTTGGCCTTTGTAGTGCTCGGCCGCCTGCTCCTTCAGCGCGAGCTGCTCCTGCAGCTCCGCCACCCTCTCCTGCTGCCGCATGGCCTCCGCCTGCAGCTCCCCCTCCAGCGCCTGTGTGCAGCGAGGACACGGGCTCAGAGACCCCCCGAGCCCCCCAGTGCAGAGCCCAGCCCCAGGCCTTCGCTCCCCATTCACCTTCACCCTCTGCTGGTGGCTCCGCGCCGTCTTCTCGTGCTGAGTCAGCTTCTTCCTGAGCTCCTCCACCTGCAACACCTGGGGTTAAGCCAGCTCCAGGGAGGAGATCCCCCCCCCATGGGTCCCAGCCACGAGGCCTCTGTGGGGCCCCTTATGCTGGGATTGATGGGAAATGGGGCTTTCCCAGTGCTGCTGCCGAGAGCCAGGCTCACGGCACCGCTGAGGCCGGTGCTGCTGTGCGGCATCGCACCTCTGGCCACATCTGGCCTCCTCCTGCCTCTAGCCATTGCCAGCAGCTGGGCAAGGTGATGGACCATGGTTAAAGATGGGGGGAACTGGGATGTATGGGAGGAATGGGATCTCCTGGCTCCCCCTAAATCCCATCAGCCTGAGGAGGGATCGCAGGAGCAATGGTCCCCTATGGGGCACACTGGGAGGAGCCGAGCTGCAGGCAGCAGGGTTTGGGATGAAGGCAAAGACCTGGAGCTGCATCCCCACCACAAGCACAGCATAGGGAGCAGGGAATGCCACTGGGAAGCAGCCGAAACCATGCACCATCACACAGTACACCATTGCCCAGTGCACCATTGCCCATCTCCCAGTGCACCACCAGCCAGTCCACCAGCACCCAGTGCACCAGCACCCAGTGCACCATCGCCCAGTGCATCATCACCCAATGCACCAGGGCCCAGTGCGTCACCCAGTGCACCAGCACCCAGTGAACCATCGCCCAGTGCACCAGCACCCAGTGCATCATCACCCAATGCACCAGGGCCCAGTGCATCACCCAGTGCACCATCACCCAGTGCACCAGCACCCAGTGCATCATTGCCCAGTGCACCAGTACCCAGTGCACCAGCACCCAGTGCACCATCGCCCAGTGCATCATCACCCAATGCACCAGCGCCCAGTGCATCACCCAATGCACCAGCGCCCAGTGAACCATCGCCCAGTGCACCAGCACCCAGTGCATCATCACCCAATGCACCAGCACCCCTGTTACCTGCTTGGCTTGCTCTTTCCGAACCGCCTCCAGCTGCTCCACCTGCAGGCACAAAGCGCGGTGACCATGGGGAGCGTGCCCCAGCCCCAGCGAGGAGCGGGATGCAGGGATGGGGGGATGCGGAGATGCAGGAATGCGGGGATGCAGGGATGCGGGGATGGAGGGATGCGGGGATGGAGGGATGCTGGGATGCGGAGATGCAGGAATGCGGGGATGCAGGGATGCGGGGATGGAGGGATGCGGGGATGGAGGGATGCTGGGATGAAGGGATGTGGGGATGCGGAGATGCGGGGATGCAGGGATGCGGAGATGCGGGGATGGAAGGATGCGGAGGTGCAGGGATGCGGAGACGCAGGGATGCTGGGATGGAGGGATGTGGGGATGCAGAGATGCAGGGATGCGGTGATGCGAGGATGGAGGGATGCAGAGATGCAGGGACGCAGGAATGCGGAGATGCAGGCATGCGGAGACGGAGAGATGCAGGGATGCAGAGATGCAGACATGTGGAGATGCAGGGATGCGCGGGAGCCCCTTACCTGCGCCGCCAGCCTCTGCCTCTCCTCCTGCAGCTTCCTCCTCTCCTCCAGCGCCGCCGCTCTGCTGCTCTCCTGCTCCTTGCCCGCAGCCTCCAGCTTCTGCACCGCCTCCTGCGCCTCCCTGCGGCTCCCGGCCACCAGCTCCTCGGACGCAGCCCGCAGCCGCTCCAGCTCCCGGCCGTGCCGCTCCTGCGCCTGCCCCAGCTCCGCCTGCAGCCGCTGCACGGCACGGTCCTGCTCGGCCGCACGCTCCCGCAGCGCCGCCAGCTCTGCCTGCAGCGTGCCCAGGGCCTGCCCGCGCTGCTCCAGCTCCTGCCGGTGCTGGCTCTCCAATGCCCCGCGCTCCGCCTGCAGCTGCTGGCACAGGAGCTTGAGCGGCGGCAGCTCCGCAGCCAGGCCCTGCGCGGCGCCCAGCTCCTGCTGCAGCGCTCCCACGAGCTGCTCCTGCTGCAGCCGCTCCTCCCGGCAGCCCTGCAGCTCCTGGCGCAGCTCCTCCTCGCGCTCGCCCTGGCTCTGCCGCTCCCTCCGGAGCGCCTCGAGGGCCGCGCGCTGCTTCTCCATCTCCTCCTGGCACCGCTGCACCTCCACCTTCATGAGCGAGCAGCGCTCGGCCGCGCGCGACGCCGCCGTCGCCATCTCGGCCTGCAGCACCCGCAGCCGCTCCTCCAGCTTCTTGCTCTTCTCCGACTCGGCCAGCGCCAGGCGCTTCAGCTCCTTGCTCTCCCCTTCCTTGTCGCCCGCCTGCCGCCGCAGCGCCGACACCTCGTGCTCCAGGCTGCCCAGGAGCCCGCTCTTGCGCTCCAGCTCCTGCACGCACTGCGAGAGCTGCTCCTTCCAGCCCTCCTCAGCCCGGGCCCTGTCCTGCGCCGCAGCACGCAGCGCCGCCAGCTCCTTCTCATGGGCTGCAACGGCGCCGCGGCTCTGCTGCAGCTCCCGGCCCTTCTCCTGCAGCTCCTTGCGCAGCGCCTCCGCGCTCCCGTCCTGCAGCGCCTGCGCCGCCCGCGCCGCTTCCAGCAGCTTCTGCAGCTCCGCCGCCTGCTCCCGGTGCTGAGCCCCGGCCCTGCGCGAGGCCTCGAGCTCCGCGTGCGCCGCAGCCGCGCTCTCCCGCTGCTCCCGGCACCGCTGCTGCAGCTCCTCCACCTGCGCCCGCAGCGCCCGCAGCGCCACCGAAAGGGCTTGGTTTGGCTCCTGCTCTGCGCCTTTGGTGCTTGCGGCGCTGTCCCCATCGGTGCCTGTGGGGCCCTGCAGCTCCTTGTCCCCTGCGGCGCTGAGCTCCCCTCGCAGCCTGCACACCGTGCCCTGCAGCTCCCGCAGCTCCTCGGTGCACGCCGCCTTGTCCCGGCGCAGCTCCTCCTGCAGCTCCCGCAGCCGCGCCAGCTCCTCGCGGTGCCGGGCACGCTCCACGCGCTGCTCGTTGAGGCTGTTCTGCAGCTGCGCCTCCACCTCGGCCTTGCGGGCGCGCTCGGCCCCGCTCTCGGCCCGGCCCCGCTCCAGCTCCTGCCGCAGGCGCGCGGCCTCCTCGTTGCGGCCGCCCAGCTCCTGCAGCGCCTCCTCGAGCCGGGCGCGCAGCCCCGAGCTCTCCCCATGCAGCCGCTGCGCCTCGGCCCTGGCGCCCTCCAGCTCCTCGCGCTGCCGCCGCTCCCGCTCCTGCAGGGAGCGCAGCTCAGCCCGCAGCCGCTGCTCCTCGCCCTCCTTCTCCTGCGCCCATGCACGGCTCCCGGCCAGCTCGGCCTCGAGCGCGGCCACGCGCTCCCGGTGCTCGGTGCCCTGGCGCTGCGCCTGCGCCTGCAGCGCCGCCACCTCCTCCTGCCTGGCGCGCAGCTCCTGCTCCAGCGCCCCGCGCTCCTCAGCCTCGCATGGGGCCGGCTCCGTGGGCTGCTGCTGCTGCAGGCGCTGCCTCTCCGCCGCCTCCAGCTCGGCGATGCGGGCCAGGCTGCCCTCCAGGCTCTCGGCCGCGCGCCGCTTCTCATCCTCCAGGATGCCCTCGGTGTTGCGCAGGGATTCCTCCAGGCGCAGGAGCTGCTCCTGCAGGCGCCCGTTCTCCCGCGCCAGCCGCTCCCTCTCGGCCAGGCGCTGCTGGCTCTCCTTGAGCCGGGCCTCCACCTCCTGCAGCTGCGCCTGCAGTGGGCTCAGCTCCATGATGCTGCCCTCCAGCTCCCGCATCCTGCGGCTCAGCTCTGCCCTCTCCCCATCCCAAGCGGCCTGGTTGCGATCCCGCTCCTGCGCCAGGGCCTGCCGTTGGCTGCTCAGGGATGCGTTGGCCTCCTGCAGGTGCTGGAGCTGCTGCAGGCTCTGCTCGTGCTGGGCCTCCCGCTCCCGCAGCTCCCGCTCCAGCTCCTCCCGGCGCCGCTGGCTCTCGGCGAGGGAACCCTGCAGGCTGCTGAGCGCGCTGCCAAGCTGCTGCTTCTCCTCCTCAAAGAGGCCCCGCTGCGACTGCAGGGCTGCTTCCTGCTGCTGCTTCTCCTCCTCCAGCCGCAGCACCGTGGCCTGGAGCTCAGCCCCTTCCCTGCTGAGAGCCGACACCTCCTGCTGCAGCTCCTCCAGCTGCGGGGACAAGAGGGGAAGGGATCAGCACACACACGGGTTCAGGGGTGACCCACAGCATCACAGTATGTTAGAGATTGGAAGGGACCCCAAAAGCTCATCCAGTCCAATCCCCCTGCAGAGCAGGAACACCCAGATAAGGTTACACAGGAACGGGTTTTGAATGGCTCCAGAGAAGGAGACTCCACAACCTCCCTGGGCAGCCTGGTCCAGTGTTCTGTCACCTCACTGAGAAGGAGTTTAAGTGGCACCTCTTGTGTTCCAGTTTGTACCCATTGCCCCTTGTCCTATCATTGTTTGCCACTGAGAAGAGCCTGGCTCCATCCTCGGGACACTCCCCCTTTATATATTTATATACACTAATAAGGTCACCCCTCAGTCTCCTCTCCTCCAAACTATAGAGACCCAGCTCCCTCAGTCTCTCCTCATAAGGGAGATGCTCCACTCCCTTCATCATCCCGCTGCTCTTCTCCAGGCAGCTTCCCATGGGATCACCGCAGGAGGCAGGGATGGCTCCGGACGCAGCCGTACCTTCAGGACGTCCCCCAGCACCTCTCCCTTCTGGCTGCTGCACTCCCCCAGCTGCGCCACTTGATCCTCCAGCAGAGAGATCTTCCCTTGCAGGATCTCAACCTTCTCCTCGCAGCATTTCTGGGGGCAGGAGGGATGGGGGCTGAGGCTCAGCAGGGCTGCGTCACCCCCAGTGCATGGATCCAGGCTGCCCAGAGCAGGGAGAGGCTGCGCCTGCAGCGCTGCAGCCGTGCCCCAGCCAGGCCCCGGGCCCTGCCCACCTTGTCCTGCAGGGCTCCTCGCAGCTCCGTCTCCAGCTGCCCCTGCTTCTCCTGCGCCTGGGCCAGCGCCGCGTTGTGCTCCTCCGAGAGCTCGTTCAGGGCCTCCTGCAGCTGCACCAAGTGGCTGCCGATCTCCCGCAGCTGCAAGGGTGAAACCCCCCCATTGCAGAGGAAGGGCCGAGCGCTGCAGGGCTCCAATGGGCCAGCACCCCTGCAGAGCCTGGTCCCTGCTGCATGCACCCTGCAGCTGCCAAGGGTGAAACCCCCATTGCAGAGGAAGGGCCGAGCGCTGCAGGGCTCCAATGGGCCAGCACCCATGCAGAACCCAGGCCCTGCTGCATGCACCCTGCAGCTGCCAAGGGTGAAACCCCCATTGCAGAGGAAGGGCCGAGCGCTGCAGGGCTCCAATGGGCCAGCACCCATGCAGAGCCCGGCCCCTGCTGCATGCACCCTGCAGCTGCCAAGGGTGAAACCCCCATTGCAGAGGAAGGGCTGAGCGCTGCAGGGCTCCAATGGGCCAGCACCCATGCAGAGCCCAGGCCCTGCTGCATGCACCCTGCAGCTGCCAAGGGTGAAACCCCCATTGCAGAGGAAGGGCTGAGCGCTGCAGGACTCTAATGGGCCAGCACCCATCAGAACCCAGGCCCTGCTGCATGCACCCTGCAGCTGCCAAGGGTGAAACCCCCATTGCAGAGGAAGGGCCGAGCGCTGCATGGCTCCAATGGGCCAGCACCCGTGCAGAGCCCAGGCCCTGCTGCATGCACCCTGCAGCTGCCAAGGGTGAAACCCCCATTGCAGAGGAAGGGCCGAGCGCTGCAGGGCTCCAATGGGCCAGCACCCGTGCAGAGCCCGGGTCCCTCTGCATGCACCCTGCAGCTGCCAAGGGTGAAACCCCCATTGCAGAGGAAGGGCTGAGCGCTGCAGGGCTCCAATGGGCCAGCACCCATGCAGAGCCCGGGCCCTGCTGCATGCACCCTGCAGCTGCCAAGGGTGAAACCCCCATTGCAGAGGAAGGGCTGAGCGCTGCAGGGCTCCAATGGGCCAGCACCCGTGCAGAACCCAGGCCCTGCTGCATGCACCCTGCAGCTGCCAAGGGTGAAACCCCCCCATTGCAGAGGAAGGGCCGAGCACTGCAGGGCTCCAATGGGCCAGCACCCGTGCAGAGCCTGGTCCCTGCTGCATGCACCCTGCTGCATGCACCCTGCAGCTGCAAGGGTGAAACCCCCATTGCAGAGGAAGGGCTGAGCGCTGCAGGGCTCCAATGGGCCAGCACCCATGCAGAACCTGGCCCCTGCTGCATGCACCCTGCAGCTGCCAAGGGTGAAACCCCCATTGCAGAGGAAGGGCCGAGCGCTGCAGGGCTCCAATGGGCCAGCACCCATGCAGAGCCGAGGCCCTGCTGCATGCACCCTGCAGCTGCCAAGGGTGAAACCCCCATTGCAGAGGAAGGGCCGAGCACTGCAGGGCTCCAATGGGCCAGCACCCGTGCAGACCCCGGGCCCTGCTGCATGCACCCTGCAGCTGCCAAGGGTGAAACCCCCATTGCAGAGGAAGGGCTGAGCGCTGCAGGGCTCCAATGGGCCAGCACCCATGCAGAGCCCAGGCCCTGCTGCATGCACCCTGCAGCTGCTGATCTCCTGCAGCTGCCAATGGTGAAATCCCCCATTGCAGAGGAAGGGCCGAGCACTGCAGGGCTCCAATGGGCCAGCACCCGTGCAGAGCCCAGGCCCTGCTGCATGCACCCTGCAGCACCACGCTCCCCTTGCGAGCGGCTGGAACTGAAGCATCTCCGGGGTGAAGGTCCCCATGGCAGAGCCCAGCCCCATTGCAGGACCCTGCAGGCCGTACCTTGAAGGAGAGGTCCCCGTTCTCCTCGGAGAGCTGGCTGATCTTGCGGTCCATCTGCCCCTTCTCAGTCTTCAGGTCCTGGCACTGCCGCAGCGCCTCGTGCAAGCGCGCCATGAGGCTGCAAGGGGAGGGTGGGAGGGAGGGTGAGGACCCCAGCGGGGCTCATGCTGCTGGGGATGGCCCAGGACACCGAGGGCCCACGGGTCCAGCTCTGAACTGGATCCCAGCACATGGAAGAGGCGAGCAGGGAGATGTCTGCGCTTTGGCAGAGCCCAACAGCCCCAAACCAAGGGCAGAGGCAGCTCCAGGACTCCAAGGGCAAACCAAGGACCAGGAGCCTGGGCGCCCTTCCCAGGTAAACAGGGACAGGGCAAAGACCAGGAAGCGGCAGCACCAGGGAGCAAGGAGTGAGAGAGCCCAGGCCAGAGCCAGGCAAACCAAGGGGAGCAGCTGGGGAAGGGGCGCCAGTGGCACCCCAAAGGCTGTCAGGGTCACAGAGCACATCCCACAGCATCCCCCCCACAACAGGGAGGGCTGATCCCGTGCTAAGGAAGACCTGAGAGCAGCCCCAGTGCCTAAAGGGGCTGCAGGGAAGCTGGAGAGGGGCTTGGGACAAGGGCCTGTAGGGCCAGGCCAAGGGGAATGGCTTGAACCTGCCCGAGGGGAGACTGAGCTGAGCTCTTAGGCAGAAGCTCTTCCCTGTGAGGGTGCTGAGGCGCTGGCACAGGGTGCCCAGAGCAGCCTGGGGCCTCCAGGGTGACCGGGCCCAGCCTGCCAGGAGGAGGGGGCACCCCCGGGGCATCACCTCTCGTTCTTCTCCCTGAGCTCCTCCACCTCCTTGGGCTCCAGCTGCTCGGCAGCGTGCTTCTCATTGAGCAGGGCCAGGCGGTCGATCCGCTGCTGCATGAGGGTGATCTGAGCCTCTGCAGAGGGGGGGAACAGACCCGTTACCCCCTGTGGGACCCCCAGTGCCCAGGGGGGGTCCTGTCCATCCCCATGGGTGAGGAGCCACCGCATGGAAACGCTCTGCAGGGGGAGATGGATGAGCTGGGCTCCACTGGCAGCATGGAGCTGAGCATGGGCTCCAGCTGAGCCCCCCCCAAACCCGATCCCAGTTTGTCCCATAGGGACTGACCCTTCTCCGAGAGCAGTTTCCGGTTCTCTGCCAGCTCCACCTCCAGCTCATCCCGGTTTTCCCGCTCCGCAGCCAACTGCTTCTTGAGGCGCCGCAGCTGGAACTGGGGGGTCTGCATGATGTCCCCCATGGGCGAGGAGGGGGCCGCGGGCAGGACACTGCAGAGGGACAGCACGGAGCACCTTAGGGAGCCAGCACCCTTCAAACACAGCCTAGGCACACCCCAGCTCCATCCCATCGCACACCCCAGCTCCGTCCCACTGCACGTCCCAGCCCCATCCCATCGCACGTCCCAGCCCCATCCCATCGCACGTCCCAGCCCCATCCCATCGCACGTCCCAGCCCCATCCCATCGCACGTCCCAGCTCCATCCCATCGCACGTCCCAGCCCCATCCCATCGCACGTCCCAGCTCCATCCCATCGCACGTCCCAGCTCCATCCCATCGCACATCCCAGCTCCATCCCATCGCACGTCCCAGCTCCATCCCATCACACATCCCATCCCCATCCCATCACACATCCCAGCTTCACCCCATCGCACATCCCATCCATCGCACGTCCCAGCTCCATCCCATCGCACATCCCAGCTCCATCCCATCGCACGTCCCAGCTCCATCCCATCGCACATCCCAGCTCCATCCCATCGCACGTCCCAGCTCCATCCCATCGCACATCCCGGCTCCATCCCACCGCACATCCCGGCTCCATCCCATCGCAGATCCCAGCTCCATCCCATCGCACGTCCCAGCCCCATCGCACATCCCAGCTCCATCCCATCGCACATCCCAGCTCCATCCCATCGCACGTCCCAGCTCCATCCCATCGCACATCCCAGCTCCATCCCATCGCACACCCCATCCTCATCCCATCGCACATCCCATCCTCATCCCATCGCACGTCCCATCTTCATCCCATCGCACGTCCCAGCTCCATCCCATCGCACGTCCCAGCTCCATCCCATCGCACGTCCCAGCTCCATCCCATCACACATCCCATCCCCATCCCATCGCACGTCCCAGCCCCATCCCATCGCACATCCCAGCTCCATCCCATCGCACGCCCCAGCTCCATCCCATCGCACGACCCAGCTCCATCCCATCGCACGTCCCAGCCCCATCCCATCGCACGTCCCAGCTCCATCCCATCGCACGTCCCAGCCCCATCCCATCGCACGTCCCAGCTCCATCCCATCGCACGTCCCAGCTCCATCCCATCGCACGTCCCAGCTCCATCCCATCACACATCCCAGCTTCACCCCATCGCACATCCCATCTTCATCCCATCGCACGTCCCAGCTCCATCCCATCGCACGTCCCAGCTCCATCCCATCACACATCCCAGCTCCATCCCATCGCACGTCCCAGCCCCATCGCACGTCCCAGCTCCATCCCATCGCACATCCCAGCCCCATCCCATTGCACGTCCCAGCTCCATCCCATCACACATCCCATCCCCATCCCATCGCACGTCCCAGCTCCATCCCATCGCACATCCCAGCCCCATCCCATTGCACGTCCCAGCTCCATCCCATCACACATCCCATCCCCATCCCATCGCACGCCCCAGCTCCATCCCATCGCACGCCCCAGCTCCATCCCATCGCACATCCCATCTTCATCCCATCGCACGTCCCAGCTCCATCCCATCACACATCCCAGCTCCATCCCATCGCACGTCCCAGCTCCATCCCATCGCACATCCCAGCTCCATCCCATCGCACATCCCAGCTCCATCCCATCGCACATCCCAGCTCCATCCCATCACACATCCCAGCTCCATCCCATCGCACGTCCCAGCTCCATCCCATCACACATCCCATCCCCATCCCATCGCACATCCCAGCTCCATCCCATCGCACATCCCAGCCCCATCGCACATCCCAGCTCCATCCCATCACATATCCACCTCCATCCTGCCCATCCCTCATCCCAGCTTCCTCCCACCCCTCACCCATCCCAGTTCCATCCTCCCCATCACACATCCCAGCCCCATCCCAGCTCCATCCCATCACACATCCCAGCTCAAGCTGGAGCCCATTACTACAGGACAGGTCCCTGTGCCCTCACTTCCCCTCCAGTCCCCCCGCACCGTGCCCATACCCCCTGGCGCCAGGGCACGTACTTGTTGCTGGAGGAGGAGGAGGAGGAGGAGGAAGCAATCCTCTGCAGCTCCAGGAACCGCACCTCTCGCTTCTGCGCGCAGGGGAGCAGCGGGGAATGCTCCTCGGAGCTGCTGCCGCATGAGGATGGTGGCACTGGGGAGAACAAGGGAGAGGGATGGGCAAGGCCATAGGATGGGAGGGAGGGCTGAGCACCGAGAGCCCCCACAGGGATGGACCAAAGCAGCTGAGGAAGCCACGAACCGGCCCTGCATCCCCATCGCACCCAGTGGGAATGAGGCAGCTGAGCCCTGGGCTGTGGGGAGCTGGAGGGGGGGTGTTTGGGGTCATAAACACAGGGAAAACTCCACTGGGTTTAGGGTCTGGAAGAGGCTCATCCGTGCTGGAGGGGCATGGAGCTGAGCAGGAGGGTGCCAGCAGTGCAGAGCACTCACAGTGCCATGGGATCCCGGCACGGGGTGGGATGAAGGGAGCTTAAAGCCCATCTAAACCCACAGCAGGGACCCCTTCCACTGGAGCAGCTTGCTCCAAGCCCCTGTGTCCAACCTGGCCTTGAGCACTGCCAGGGATGGGGCAGCCACAGCTTCTCTGGGCACCCTGTGCCAGCGCCTCAGCACCCTCACAGGGAAGAGCTTCTGCCTAAGAGCTCAGCTCAGCCTCCCCTCGGGCAGGTTCAGGCCATTGCAAGAGGCCACCTTCCCCATCGCACCCCATTGGGGCCGGGGCTCACCCTTCCTCTGCAGGAACACCTCCAGGTTCTCGCTCAGGTTCTCCTCGTTGTCCAGCACGAACCTGAGGATCGCTGCCAGCTCCACCTGCACCGGGAGCAGCCATGGGGTGAGCACCGCAGCACCCCCCCTGCACCCGCCTTTAGGGCCAGGGCTGGGAGCACCCCCAAGGGGGAATCACCTGGGTCTCGTAGTCGAACCCGCTCCAGTCCGCGGGGCTCCTGCAGCTCATGGATGCGTGGTACAGGAGCAGCACGGCCACCTGCAGCGAGCAGGGAGCTGTCACCCCCAGCACCAGCACCAGCACCAGCACCGGTACCCTGCCCTGCACCCAGCACCCAGCACCCAGCACCAGCACCCAGCACCCAGCACCAGCACCAGCACCCAGCACCCAGCACCAGCACCCAGCACCAGCACCCAGCACCAGCACCCAGCACCCAGCACCCAGCACCCAGCACCCAGCACCCAGCACCAGCACCCAGCACCAGCACCCAGCACCCAGCACCAGCACCCAGCACCAGCACCCAGCACCCAGCACCAGCACCCAGCACCAGCACCCAGCACCCAGCACCCAGCACCCAGCACCCAGCACCAGCACAGCACCCAGCACCAGCACCCAGCACCCAGCACCAGCACCCAGCACCCAGCACCAGCACCAGCACCCAGCACCAGCACCCAGCACCCAGCACCCAGCACCAGCACCCAGCACCAGCACCCAGCACCCAGCACCAGCACCCAGCACCCAGCACCAGCACCAGCACCCAGCACCAGCACCCAGCACCCAGCACCCAGCACCAGCACCAGCACCCAGCACCAGCACCCAGCACCCAGCACCAGCACCCAGCACCCAGCACCAGCACCCCAGCACCCAGCACCCAGCACCAGCACCCAGCACCCACCCAGCACCAGCACCCAGCACCAGCACCAGCACCAGCACCAGCACCAGCACCCAGCACCCAGCACCCAGCACCCAGCACCCAGCACCCAGCACCAGCACCCAGCACCCAGCACCAGCACCAGCACCCAGCACCAGCACCCAGCACCCAGCACCCAGCACCAGCACCAGCACCCAGCACCAGCACCCAGCACCCAGCACCAGCACCCAGCACCAGCACCCAGCACCAGCACCCAGCACCAGCACCCAGCACCAGCACCGGTACCCTGCCCTGCACCCAGCACCCAGCACCCAGCACCAGCACCAGCACCCAGCACCAGCACCAGCACCCAGCACCCAGCACCAGCACCAGCACCCAGCACCCAGCACCAGCACCAGCACCCAGCACCCAGCACCAGCACCCAGCACCCAGCACCAGCACCAGCACCAGCACCAGCACCCAGCACCAGCACCAGCACCCAGCACCCAGCACCAGCACCAGCACCCAGCACCAGCACCCAGCACCAGCACCAGCACCAGCACCCAGCACCCAGCACCCAGCACCCAGCACCAGCACCCAGCACCAGCACCAGCACCAGCACCAGCACCAGCACCCAGCACCAGCACCAGCACCCAGCACCCAGCACCAGCACCAGCACCCAGCACCAGCACCAGCACCCAGCACCCAGCACCCAGCACCAGCACCAGCACCAGCACCCAGCACCCAGCACCAGCACCAGCACCAGCACCCAGCACCCAGCACCCAGCACCAGCACCCAGCACCAGCACCAGCACCAGCACCGGCGCCTCTGTGCTTACCTTGGCCAGGGCCAGCTCCTCCCCATCCAGCAGCTGCTGGGCCGGGATCAGGCTCTCCGGGGCTGCTTTGTGCTTGCAGTGCTCTGCAATGGGAACCAGCATCCCCATTCCCATCCCCATTCCCATTCCCATTGGAGCCCTGGATGCTGGGAACGCTGCCCATCCCCAGGTGATGCGCTCGGGCTGGGGACCCCACGGTGTATCCCAAAGGAGGGAAACTGCACGGCACTTCCCACCCCCTGTTCCCCATGGATCCTGCTGCAGGTAAAGGTTTCCCAGTGGGATTTAAGCAGCTGGAGGCCAGGGAGCAGACTGGGACCGCTGCCTCTTCCCCCCGTGCTCCGTCTGCACCAAGCCTGCGCTCTGATGGGGATTCCCAGTGGGAAGTTCCCTTCCTGTGGGATGGGGGCAGCCTGGATGCGGTGTGGGGTGGGAGCTCAGGGATGGGGATGCAGGAGCAGAGCCCTGGGGATGGGGATGCAGGAGCAGAGCCCTGGGGATGGGGATGCAGGAGCAGAGCCCCGGGGATGGGGATGCAGGAGCAGAGCCCTGGGGACCGGGATGCAGGAGCAGAGCCCTGGGGATGGGGATGCAGGAGCAGAGCCCTGGGGATGGGGATGCAGGAGCAGAGCCCTGGGGATGGGGATGCAGGAGCAGAGCCCTGGGGACCGGGATGCAGGAGCAGAGCCCTGGGGATGGGGATGCAGGAGCAGAGCCCTGGGGACCGGGATGCAGGAGCAGAGCCCCGGGGATGGGGATGCAGGAGCAGAGCCCTGGGGATGGGGATGCAGGAGCAGAGCCCTGGGGACCGGGATGCAGGAGCAGAGCCCTGGGGACCGGGATGCAGGAGCAGAGCCCTGGGGACCGGGATGCAGGAGCAGAGCCCCGGGGATGGGGATGCAGGAGCAGAGCCCCGGGGATGGGGATGCAGGAGCAGAGCCCTGGGGATGGGGATGCAGGAGCAGAGCCCCGGGGATGGGGATGCAGGAGCAGAGCCCGGGGCCGGGATGAGGAGCGACCGGGGATGGGGATGCAGGAGCAGAGCCCCGGGGATGGGGATGCAGGAGCAGAGCCCCGGGGATGGGGATGCAGGAGCAGAGCCCTGGGGACCGGGATGCAGGAGCAGAGCCCTGGGGACCGGGGTGCAGGAGCAGAGCCCCGGGGATGGGGATGCAGGAGCAGAGCCCTGGGGGCCTGTGGGATGCGGTGCAGGTGCTGGGGGCAGCTCTTACTGTGCAGGAAGGCGCAGATGAAGCTGATCCTCTGCGGCAGCGCCTGCTCCAGCGCTGATTCCGCATCCTCGCTCCGGAGCCTGGGACAGAGCAGGGACCATGGGGAGGGAGCTCAGCTCCAGCAGAGCCAAAGGCGAGCACATGGGGCCATGGAGGCAGCCCCAAGCCCTGTCTCTGCTGGATCGGTGCCGGATCGGTGCCGCTTCCTCCTCTGCATCACAGAGCTCGCAGCAGCCCTGGCACCAGGAGGCACCGCAGGGGGATGCAGGCAGTGCCTGCAGCGGCTCCCAAAGCAGGGGCTTGGCTCCAGGACAGCACCGGGAGAGGATTCCCGGTGCCGGGAGCTCCCCATCCTCATTGGGATGTGCTGGGAGCAGCCAGAGCCAGAGCCGGCAGATTAATGAGAGCCTCCTAAATATAACCCAGAGCTGGCGGCCGCCTCCTCCCGGGCAGCTCCCCTTACAGCGGGTAATTATAGCAGCCAGCACGGCCGGGAGCCATCCTGCCCTGCCCATGGCACGGACCATGGGGATGGGTGGGATGAAGGGAGCTCAAAGCCCACCTAAAACCATGGGCAGGGACCCCTTCCATTGGAGCAGCTTGCTCCAAGCCCCTGTGTCCAACCTGGCCTTGAGCACTGCCAGGGATGGGGCAGCCACAGCTTCTCTGGGCACCCTGTGCCAGCGCCTCAGCACCCTCACAGGGAAGAGCTTCTGCCTAAGAGCTCAGCTCAGTCTCCCCTCGGGCAGGTTCAAGCCATTCCCCTTGGCCTGGCCCTACAGGCCCTTGTCCCAAGCCCCTCTCCATGTTCCCTGCAGCCCCTTTAGGCACTGGAGCTGCTCTCAGGTCTCCCACTGAAGCCAGGTCATGGGGAGCTTCTCCTCACCCAGCACCCCAAATCCTCCTCCTCAGGCTCCATCCCATCACCTCCAGCCTGGGTTTGTGCTGGGGTTGCTCAATCCCCCATTCAGGACCATTCCTCCCCTCCAGCTCCATCAGGACACACACCCGGAGCGGAGCACCCTGTGTTCTCCCTCCCATACCCAGGACAGCTCAGGCTCTAATTGCCTTGCTCATGGACAAGGAACGTGGCTCTGGACGGACACGTTCCTCCCATCCCAGTTTGGCCACCTCAGCTCCTGGGATGGAGCAAACAGGCTCCATCCTGCCGGTATCACCCTGGGGATCAGCCCAGTGTCCCCAGAGAACCACAGCGCTCCATGGGGTGGGAGCTGTGGTGCTTTCCCAGAGCTTCCCAAGCATCCCAATGCTGCAGCTCAGGAAAACATCCTGCTTTTCCTCACCTGAGCAGCCCTTATGGCCATAAAGCACTTCCCAAGCCCCTGGTGCAACAGGGAGCCTCAAAGGGCAGAATCTGCCCCGCACATCCCACCCGGATGCCCCCAGCTCCTCGTACTCACATTCTGTTGATGATCCGGATGAAGACGCTGCAGTCCCGGAGCTGGGACAGATCCTGGAGGGGTTCGGAGCACACATTTGTGCTGTTCACCTATGGATGGGATGGGATGGGACGGGATGGGATTGGATGGGATGGGATTGGACGGGATGGGATGGGATTGGACGGGATGGGATGGGATGGGATGGGATTGGACGGGATTGGATGGGATGCTCAGAAGGAAGAAGCCAGCACCATTCCCTGCTGTCCCAGCTCCCAGCCCGGACCCCAGCATCCCGGCCCTTGTGGCTGCTCAATGGGAGCGGTGAGCACAGGCTCCCATCAAACACCCCCCCACCGTGGGCATCCCCGGCCCCGATCCCTCCCCGGTACCGGTCCTGATGGGGATGGGGCAAGGGGGGGGAGCGTTACCCAAGCAAGCAGAGCCGCGGCCCTCGCACCGTGCAGAGGCATCCTGAGGCTCGCAGGTCACTGCCCCGACCTGCAAGAGGGGAGGAGCGATGAGCACCCAGGGCATTGCTGCTCATCCCAGCAATGGGAGCCGAGCCCTTCACGGCTGGATCATGGCATGGGGTGGGATGGAAGAGACCTTAAAGCTCCTCCATTCCCAACCCCTGCCCCGGGCAGGGACCCCTTCCATAGAGCAGCTTGCTCCAAGCCCCTGTGTCCAACCCTGCCAGGGACGAGCTCCCCAATCCCATCTCCTGCCTTGGAACAGCAGCCGGCACCTCCTGGGATTCATCCCCGGTGATCGGCATCGAGAGGATCAGGACTCAAGGGAAACCATTGCTCAGGCTCCTCCTCCTCCTGCCGTGTCCCATCCCTTATCCCCATCCCAAACCCCCCCCCCGCAATCCCTTTGAAGAGGGATGCGGAGCCCTGCTCCGTCCTTGTGGTCCCTCAATCCCAAGGGCTCCTCCATGGCCGCCCCGGGTCCCCGTCCCTCGGGAACAGCCCCGAGCCGCGGTCCTGCGGGATGCGCGGGGCCGGAAGCGCAGCCGCGGGCTGGGGGCAGGTCCTTGGGGAGGCCCGGTTGTAAACAAGCAGCAATGGGCGCGGGGCGAGCACCGGCTGCGGGACAGGGGTGCCCCTGGACCCCAAACCCCGCCGAGGAGCAGGGGGGAGCGGCCGCTTCAGAGCCCCCATGGGCTCAGCCGGGACGCGCGGGCTCCCGCTGGGACGGCTCCTTCCTCCCGCACCCCCCTTCCGGACCCCAAAGCGCCCCCGATCCCCGCGGTGAACCCGGGACCGGCTCCGAGCCCACCCCAGCTCCGTGCCCGCGGCACCACCGCGACCCCCGGGGCCGTGACCCGGAGCTCCGCCGCGTTACGAAACCGGCGCCTCCGGAGCCCCCCCCCTCCCCGCTGTACCCCCCCCCCCCCGCAGGCCGATGGGGGGGCAGCGCTCCCGCTCCCGCTCGGTACCGGCCGGGGGTCCCGCGGCTCTCCCCGGTCCAGCGGAGCGCAGCGGAGCGGCTCGGGCCGCCCGGAGCCGCGCACAAAGGCGAAGCTGCGGAGTCGCTGGCGGGGCCGCGGGTGACGGCTCCCTCCTGGCCCCGGGCCACATCCACGTCACCGCGAGCGTTAAAGGCGCCCGCGCTGGAGCCGGTCCCGATGGGGGGGGGGGGTGTTCCCGGTGTAGGTTCCCGTTGTTCCCGAGTCATCCGGGGCCGTTCCCAACGCAGGAGCCACGGACTCGGGGCTCGTCCCGGCCCGGTGGTGCCGGTGCCCCCCCCCCCCCATGGCGCTGGAAGGGGCGCGCTGATGGCGCCGCTCTCCCAGAGCCGGGTCCGGGTCGGAGCCACCGGATGGGGGAGAACGAGGAGGGGGAACGGAGCCAACGCGGGACCGGGGGTGGGAAGCAGCGGGACCCCCCCGGGACAGCAGCGCGGCACCGGGAGCTGGGCTCTCCTACCGGATACGGGGGCCGGGCCCGGCCCGGGCAGCGCCGTCGTGGGGACGAGGCCGCGGCGGGACCTGGCAGCGCCGGGGGTTGCGCCCATCCGGTGCGGGGGTCCCGGGCTGGGGGAATCCTCCTCGGGCCCTCCCGCGAACACCGGGCCCCTGCCACCCGCGTTAGGCCTCACCGGGGGCGGGCATCGGCACTACGCGAGGCCCAGGCCGAGGCCTAGCACCGGAACCGCTGAGCCCACGGGAACGGGACGGACCGAACCCCCCCCTTCACCCCCCTACCCCGCGTACCCGTTGGCCCCTCCCCTCGGCCCCGCCTCCTCCAGTGCGCCCCCCCCCTCCCCCCATTCTCCCGTACCGGCGCCACCGCCGCCCGGTTCAAACAGCAGTGCCCACCCCTGCCGCCTCCTCATTGGCTACGAGGCGTGTCACGTGGTGGACGCCGCGACTACAGTTCCCAGCGTGCTGTTCAGCTCTCGCGAGAGCTGCGGAAAGCCCCGGGAACGGGTTGCCATGGGAACAATGGCGGCGGCCAGCAGGGAGGCCTGGGGATGGGGGGGATCCTGGCGGGACGCGAGGGGGGAGCACACGTGGGGCCTCCCATGGGGGTCTCAGCTCCACTCGTGGGGACACACGAAGGGCACTGGAGGCTATGGGGGGGGGTGTTTATGGCTGTCAGGGGGCACCCAGAGACCCACATTGGGGCTGGGGACACGTGTGGGGCCCTGGGGGTCTGTGTGTGTGTGTGTGTATGGGGCCATGTGCCAACCAGGGGACACCCAGAGAGGGGCTGGGGACCCGGCAGGGCTTTGGGGGCAGTGGGTATGGGGCCACTTCCCAAGCAGGGGACACCCAGAGACCCACATTGGGGCTGGGGGGGCGGTCCTGCTCTGCCCCACAGCAGATCCTGCCCCACGGCAGAGGATGCCACCACCCCCAGACCCATCCTGACCCACAAGGGGATCGCATAGGGGGGGTTTGGGGCTCATCCCTGTGCCCCCCACCCCATGTGCCCCCCATTGATGCAGGAAGCAGCAGCAGAGCAGGAGGTGGCCGTGCCTGTGCTCGGGTTTATCGGCTGTGCCCAGGAGCAGGTAAAAAACCCCAATCCATGTAAAAACGGGGGGGGCAAAGGGGGGTTCAGTTCCCCCCCCCCCCCCAATTAACACAGCATTCCCTTTGTGGTGATCCCTGCGCCAGGCCAAGCACCCCCCTCCCATTGGAATCCCGCTTGGGGGCCGGATCCCAGCACAGGGAGGAGGAGGAGGAGAAGACAACGGGAAAGGGGGAATCCAACCCAAAAGGCCCCGAAGCGGCCCCCATGGTGCCATGGGGCTCAGGGGATGCCGAACTGCACCACCAGCTCCTCCTTGGCATCCACCCGGATCTGTGAGAGCGCGCTGAAGGCGTAGGCAGCTATCCGGGACACCTGTGGGGCACAAGCACACGGCTCCTTTGGGTTAAAAAGGGGCTAAAAGGGTAAAAATGGGCTTTAAAGTCCCCTATTCCCAAAGCAGGTGCGGATTCTGGAGCTGCTGCCCCTTGAATCCTGTGCTCAGCTCTGGGATCTGCACTGCAAGAGGGACATTGAGAGGCTGGAGGGGGGCCTGGAGCCCAAGGGTGATGGGGAAGGGCTGAGGGACCTGGGGGGTTCAGATGGAGAAGAGAAGGCTCAGGGGGGACCTGATGGCTGCCTCCAAGTGCCTGAGAGGAGGATGGAGCCAGGAGGGGCTGGGCTCTGCTCCCAAGGAACAAGGGATGGGACAAGAGGAACCGGCCTCAAGCTGCACCAGGGCAGGGTTAGATGGAGCTGAGGAGCAATTCCTGCCCCAGAGGGTGCTCAGGCATTGGAACAGGCTGCCCAGGGCAGGGCTGCAGGCACCGGCCCTGCAAGGGTTCACACCCCCTCAGTGCCATGGGGCAGTGGTGGCCGTGGGGCAATGCTTGCACTGGGTGGACCTGAAGCCCTTCCCCATCCCCAGTGATCCCAGGGCTCCGTGTCCCCAGCCCACGGCTCTGGGGGCCCTCACCTGCTGCAGGTCTGCGAAGGGGACGGGGTCGCTGGCCAGGACCTGGTGGGGTTGGTTGGTGAGGGACGGCAGCGCCGGAGCCTTCTTCCAGTGCGTGAGGCTGGAGCTGAGCATGGCCAGGCGGGTGCTGGGGGCACCGCGGTCAGAACCACGGCACCAATGGGCACTGCACAGCACCCCGGGGGGTGGGGGTGCCCCGGGGGGGTGGGGGTGTCCCAGGGGTATGGGAGCATCCTAAGGTGGATGGGAGTACCCCAGGGTAGATGAGGGCACCCCAGGGGGATGGGGGTACCCTAACATGGATGGAGGCACCCCAGGGGGATGGGGATGCCCCAGGGTGGATGAGGATGTCCCAGGGGGATGTGGATACTCCAGGAGGATGGGGATGCCACAGGGGGATGGGGGCACCCCAGGGTGTATGGGGTACCCCAGGGGGATGGGGATGCCCTAAGGTGGATGGGGGCACCCTAGGATAGATGGGGATGCCGCAGGGAGATGGGGGTGACCCAGGGGGATGGGGATACCCCAGGGTTATGGGGGTACCCCAGGGTTATGGGGAGCATCCCAGGGTAGATGGGGATGCCCCAGGGTAGATGGGGGCACCCCAGGGGGATGGGGGCACCCCTGGGTGGATGGGGGTAACCCAGGGGGATGGGGGCACCCCAGGGTTATGGGGGTTCCCCAGGGTGATGGGGAGCATCCCAGGGTAGATGGGGATGCCCCAGGGTAGATGGGGATACCCCAGGGGGATGGGGGCACCCCAGGGTAGATGGGGATGCCACAGAGTACATGGAAACACCCCAGGGCGATGGGGGCACCCCAGGGTGATGGGAGCACCCCAGGCGGATGGGAGCACCCCAGGGGGATGGGAGCACCCCAAGGTAGATGGGGGCACCCCAGGGTGATGGGGGCACCCCAGGGTGATGGGGAGCACCCCTTCCCCACCTGTACTGCCGTGCCCGGTCCATGTACTCGTGCTGCTCCATGCCCTGCGAGTCCGCAGCCGAGACGTCGATGATGTTGCTGGGGAGCAGCAGGGAGCAGGTCCCATTGTGGCCTCCAGGCCCCCCCCCCCCATGGTAGCACCCCAAAACTGACAGCTTGGGGGTGGATTGAGCTCCATGGGTCACTCAGAGCCCCCTGTATGGGCTGGGATGGGCCCCATGCATATGGGGCCTCACAGAGCCCTCCATTGAGGCCCATGAGCAACCTGAGTCCCTCCCATATGGGCTGGGGGCTGCCCCCATGCCTATGGGGTGACCCCCCGCTCCTAAAGAGGACACAGAGCGCCCCAAACTCCCTCTGCACCCCCCAAACACCCTCTGCACCCCCCAAACACCCTCTGCACCCCCCAAACTCCCTCTGCACCCCCCAAACACCCTCTGCACCCCCTAAACACCCTCTGCACCCCCTAAACACCCTCTGCACCCCCCAAATCCCTCTGCACCCCCCAAACACCCTCTGCACCCCCCAAACACCCTCTGCACCCCCCAAACACCCTCTGCACCCCCCAAACACCCACTCCATCCCCCCAATCCCAGCGAGGGGCTCCCTTTGGTGTCCCTGTGGGGCACAAACCAGAGGGAAGGGGCTTAGGAGCAGCTCCCCCTTCCCTTTGGCACCTCTGGGCCCCACGGGGGGGAGCCCCAGGGCCACGGCACCGGGTGCTGCCGGTGCGGGGGGGCTGCGGCGATGGCAGGGCTCACATGGCGGTCTTGGCGAGGATGGAGGAGAGCATGGCCTGCTCGTCCGTGCGCGCCGAGGGCAGGTTGTGGTAGCTCTGCTCAGCCCCGTTCAGCACCTTGTTGGGGGGGCTGGGGGTGGGCTCCAGCAGCCGCTTCGTCTCCTCCTCCTGGGGGAATGGGGGGGTGAAGGGAGCTTGGGATCCTCCATCCCCAACCCCTGCCACAGGCAGGGACCCCTTCCACTGGAGCAGCTTGCTCCAAGCCCCTGTGTCCAACCTGGCCTTGAGCACTGCCAGGGATGGGGCAGCCACAGCTTCTCTGGGCACCCTGTGCCAGCGCCTCAGCACCCTCACAGGGAAGAGCTTCTGCCTAAGAGCTCAGCTCAGGCTCCCCTCGGGCAGGTTCAAGCCATTCCCCTTGGCCTGGCCCTACAGGCCCTTGTCCCAAGCCCCTCTCCCAGTTCCCTGCATCCCCTTTAGGCACTGGAGCTGCTCTAAGGTCTCCCCATAGCCCAGCAGAGGGGCAGGATCCCCTCGCTGAGCTGCTGCTCACGCTCTGGGGGTGCAGCCCAGCACAGGGGGGGTTCTGGGCTCAAGCGCTCACTGAAGCCGGGTTATGGGGAGCTGCTCCTCACCCGGTTCCTGCACCCCCGGCACCGCAGGGTGACACCGGCCCCCCCATGTCCCCCCATAACCCCCCCATAACCCCCATGTCCCCCCGTGCCCCCCAGGCCCTCACCTGCTCCGAGGCCTCGCCCTCGCTGCTGTAGCAGCAGCCCATGGCGACCGCCGGCACCAGCACCGGCTCCGGCAGGGGGCGCGCCTCTCCGCTCACGTGACAGCGCCGGACTGACACCCGCCTGGCCCCCCGTGACACAACATTGGGTCACGTGGGGCGTGGGCAGCCAATGGGAGCGTAGGAACCGCCCATGCTCCTCCGTCCTTCTCCTCCTCTTCCTGCTTCCTGCCCCACCCCGAGTAAGGGAGCCTCTGGTCACGTGATCGGCTGCCAATCAGCGAGCGCAGAGGGGCAAAACAAGGCGCCGGAAGCGGCAAGATCCCCAC